TTTTTTAAATTGTTTATTAAAATTAAGATTAATAAATTATAATTAAACTTAATAAAAATGAAAATTATGACATTTAAGCAGCAGCTTATATACGAGTATTTCTGTGTTTATTATTATAAATGTTTGCAAAAACCAGATTGGCAGCTGGTGGCAGCTAATTTTTGTTTATTTTATTAACTAATAATATGACCTACAAGAAAAAATAAAGTTGGTCGCAGAATTCTACAGAATTATTAACTTTTTCTCTCGATTTCTAAACTTTTTATGCGTAATTTCACTTCAAACTTTGGTACAATTATTTGTTAACGGCTATTTTGTTTATTGTTAATATGGTTTGTGTAATAGATATTAATATTCTACTTACTATCAACAGATGATTCCATTTTACAAACATAAAATTGATTAATTCCACGTGTTTTGGCGTACTTTTGAAAAGACCGTTATTTTTCGTCTCTCGTTTGCGACAGATGCTACTCCTGCGAGGGTCACATTAGAACTGGTCTACAAACTCAGATTTTCACGATCGGACCCTGCTGTGTGTGAAATTTGGAAGTCAAACTATCACTGTAGCCAACCCAATAGTTAAAAACTCCTAAATCGAAACTTTATTTTTCGACTTTTGGCCACGTTTTCGGTATTCTGTCCCACTGTGTGACGTGATCCACTCTCTCACGTTCTCACGTAGACCGTCACCACTAAAAGTTTCCAACACAACCTCAACGTCCTCAAACAATAAGGAAGGTTGTCCATCTTCGTCCCAGCATCGTTGAAGCTCGTAATATGCACTTACGTCGTTAGGTGGAGTCACGGCGGCACGAACTTCTATATCGACATGATCATGCATCAGCGCCCTCACTTCTTGATCGTCTCGATCATGGCTGACGATTGTCGACTTCTTGTCACTTACGTCGTCTTCTACATTATCTTCGTCGTTGTCTGCTCTCCTCATCGCCTTTATGGTTATCAGTTTCTGTTTTATGTTGGGACCTTTCGTGGACAGGTCATACTCCTCATTTAGCTTCATCAATGTTACGAAGTCATGTGTAAGACCGTACATGCTCAACCACGGCGCAAACATATATTTATGTCCGCTGTCTATGTTCTTTTGTGTGCTCGATGCACCACTATCACCGTTAGTATCTGCACTACTGGGTTCTTCATGCGTACCCGCTGTTACATCGGGATATAGGATCTTACGTAGTTATTCAGATAGAACTGCTCTGCTTTCCGTCACCTCTAGATCGTGTTCCCTAAGCGGCTCGATCAACTCCTTCTCCATCAACTTGTTCAAGCTCTCCGCCATGTTGTCCCCGCGTTACACTACGTATGCCTAATCTCGTTCTTGGCTGTATCCTTCAACCTTTCCTCTGATCACCAAAACGTTCGCCTCGCCTCGTCCGTTCACTGTTAGCCACACACGAGTTCGCTTCCACCGTGTAACAGACACTAACGAGCTTATTCGCTGCTCGCTTCTTTCGTATACACGAGGGCCTCACGCACTCTTCTCACACCGATTTTTCGGCCACGATCTTGGATAAGCCCTCAGATGATGATCAGGGATATCAGAAGGCTGAAATCAGTGTTTAATATAAAACACGGGTGGATATTTTAGTTAAAGAAACACTATAATGCAATACAATCGCGGATCACTCAGCAACGTTTTACTTACTCTGAGTCTTTTTTCTTTCTGTCTTTTGTTTCGTGAGCATCCGGTGAGTGCGCTGCGCTCGTCAACTGCCGCGTCACCCTTGGCTGCGTTCCGAAATGTACTGCTAGTACTGAAAATCTATAGTTTATGTTACGTATATCATAGGATGTGTTCCGTTTCCACGCATAATGCGCATGAAACGCAGCGTTAGAGTGATAGAGATACAAGAGTGAGATAAAAAGAAAGGGAGAGCACTCGGGTGAGGTTCTCAAACCTAGATTAAGTTAGCTCTCGAACGCATGAGAACATGGACCGCACTACCTCGGAGCTAAGGCAATCCATGCGTTCGAGAACTAACCTAATCTAGGTTCGAGAACCTCACCCAAGTTACAGTATATATATATATATATATAACTAGTAGCGTCATTTGATGAAAATAGCGTCGGAGAAATGCTACAACGCATGCGTTGCATTACTACCGACAACATGGCGTAAATTAAGTAGTCAACACGTAGTGAACATAGTATTTGAAAACGTTTTAAAAACATTTATGTAAAATGAACTGCGTAATTGTTGGTGGTTTTATGTGTGCAATGAGTAATTGTAATGATAATTTGGAAGCAAGTCGCCATTTAAGCTTTTTTCGTTTTCCATCTGATCTAGAAAGATAATATATCAATTGTTTGATAATTTCTTATACATTTATGTATATATCTATAAAAATTTAATTGTTTATAAGATTACGATAATATATTTTAGAGCAAAATGGCTACAAGCATGTGGTATAAAGAAGAATATCTGACCAAAAAAGCTATACAGTAATTATAGAGTTTGCTCAAAACATTTTGCTTCTCATATGTTTTTAAATGATTTAAAAAGTCGACTTCAGCCACATGTAGTTTCGAGTACAGTTTTTAATATTGAAGAAAGTACTCATGAAGAAAGTACTTCAACAGAAAATTCAACAATACAAGCGGATACATTTAGTGCTGTGGCCACATGTTCACCAACCAATTTGACAGGTAGAATATTAACTTCTAAATAAAATAAAAAAAATTTGATTAGTCTGGATTTTGTTAGATTTTTTTGAAAATGTTTTATATTTTTATTTGTAATTTCAGATGTTGTAAGCACAAATTTAACTAAAAATGTTAATGTGTCAAATGATCAAACATCTAAAAATGATAAAGCTACTCAAACGGAATTAAAATTATCAAACTCTTCCCCAAGGAAAGTAGAAGAAAATGTGACGCTGCAGAAAAAAGAGCAAAACGTATAAAACTAAAATATGAAAAGGAAGAAAAGTGTATAGAAGACATTACTTTCAGTGATTTTCAAAAACTTCTTTACAAATTTTATCCAAAACCAATGGCTGATTTTATGAAAGCTCAAGCATATAATTTGAACAACAAAAATAAATATATTATTGTCTTCTATAATAAATTGTAAATTGTAGTTGCAAATGTCAGAGATGTTATATGTATATATTTCTTTGCTATCAATTTTTATATCATGTATTGTAAAAATTAAGAAATTTAAATAATTGAAGAATTTATATTGTATTTGATAAATATATATTGTACACATTGCAATTATAAAATAAAAATTATAAATGTTATCTGTATATTATATGTACAAAAAGAATTCATTGTATAACACAATATACATTTAATATTATTACTTATTATTTTATTTTTCACTTATTTTTACATTCTTACTTGCGTCACTTTAATGTTACAATTGAAAATTTACAATATTTATTTAAGAAAATATGAATTGCTGTTACTTATATAATACGAAAATAATTTTTTATAGTTTTCTTCCTTTCTCATAATTTAAATATCAGCGCGTTACTACTACCAAGAACATGGCAACATGTCACGTGATTTCGGACGCTGACATCAAAAGAACCGACACGGAGTACCGCTTCTGGTTATATACAGGGTGAGTCATTTTAGTCTATGGATCCGAATATCTTCCAAATTATGGTATCTACAAAAAAATGGTTTAGATAAAAGTTGACCAGGACAGAGGGGGTCATTCAATTGTACCATTGGTTTTGACCTTGAGGTCAATTTTGAAGGTTACTTCAAGGTCACGATGGTTTTTTCTAATGGGACACCCTATTTTTGACTGCGGATTTCGAAAGAGCGGAAAATTTTACATCAAACTTGTCTTATGAAAAAATTGTTTTTGCGACCTTGGAAAGGTAAAAAATGAAGGTGAAATGTCTGAAAAACGATCTGGTGTACTTTTTCTGAAATGACGTGGTTTTCTGGGTAACACAAATGTGCATAATG